GAAAGGGATAATTACAACAATCTCTAGTTGCAGATGACATGATCCCTTATATTCAAAATCTGTATTTGCAGAAGACATGATGTCATATATTGAAAATCCTAAAGAATCCATGAAAATACAAAAAGAGCAAAAAAACTCAGCAAACTTGCAGGGTGCAGAGCAATATGCAAAAATAAGTTGTGTTTCTATGTACCAGCAATGAAAATTCTGAAAAGTAAATTAAGAAAACCTATCATAATAGCATCTAAATTATAATGTTATCCAGTTATAAGAGCATCTAAAAAGGATGTAAGACCTAGAAATATATTTATTTAGGAGAGGGAAAGACTTTTACATTGAAAACTAAAAATCATAGCTTGAAGAAATTAAAGAAGACTTAGATAAATGGAGAGATATCTTGTGTTCATTGATTGGAAGATATAATATTGTTAAAATGTCAGCACTGTCCCAAATGATCTACAGATTCTCTCAGTCCCTATCAAATATTCAACCACTGTTTTTAAAGAAATGGAAAAGCTGATCCTCAAATTCACATAGAATTGCAAGGGGCCCTGAATAGTCAAAACAGCACTGAAAAAATATCAAACTTTTGAGGACTCACACTGATTTCAAAACTTACTACAAAGCTACAGTAATAAAAACTGTGGTGCTGGTGTAAGTACAGAAATATAGAGCAGTGTCATAGAGTTGAGTGTCCAAAAATAAACTTACATATCTATGACCAATTGATTTTTGACAAGGGTACCAATACCATTCAATGAGGGAAGAATAGTTTCTTCAACAAATGGTGCTGTGACAACTACATCGCCATATGAAAAACAATGAGCTTGGACCCCTAGCTCACACCATATATAAAAATTAACTCAAAATAGAACAATGACCTAAATATAAGAGATAAAATGACAAAACTCTTAGAGAAAATATAGGCATAAATCTTCATGATCTTGGATTTTGCAGTTGATTCTTAGATGTGACACCAAAAGCACAAGCAACAAAAGAAAAAATGGATAACTTAGACTTCATCAAAATTAAAAACTTTTTGTATCAATGAACATTATCAAGAAAGTGAAAAGACAGTATACACGATGGGAGAAATTATTTGCAAATCAGTTATCAGATAAGGCGTGGTATCCAGAATATACAAATAACTAATGACAACAAAAAGACAAAACAATGCAATTAAAAAATGGGCAAAGGACTTGAATAGACATTTTTTCAAAGCATATGTACAATTGAAAAACAAACACATTAGAAAATGATTCATATCATTAGTCATTCCAAAAAAACAGAAACAAACCCATTGCCATTGAGTCAATTCCAACTCATAGCGACCTTGTAGGACAGAGTAGAACTTCACCATAGAGTTTCCAAGGAGTGGCTGGTGGATTTGAACTGCCAACCTTTTTGTTAGCAGCTGAGCTCTTAACCACTGCATCACCAGGACTCCTCATTAGTCATTAGGAAATGTAAATCAAAGCAAAACTACGATGAAATGCTAATTTACACTCACCTTGGTAGCTATAATAACAAGAAATGGAAAGTGACAAGTGTTGGTGAGTACGTGGAAAAATTGAAACCTTTGTGTGTGGTTGGTGAGAATGTAAAATGGTTCAGACACTGTGCAAAACCATTTGATGGTTCCTCAGATAGTTAAACACAAAATTACCAAATGACCCAGCAATCTCACTCCTAGGTTTATACCCAAGATTAATTGAAAACAGGTACTCAACCAGTACACATAGAGGCATATTCATAGCAGCACTATTCACAATAGCCAAAAGGTAGAAACAGCCCATATATCCATGAAGAGATGAATGTTTGAACAAGTTGTGGTATATACATACAATGTAATGATGTTTAGCCGTAAGGAAACATAAACTATTTAAACATGCTACAACATGATTGAACTACAGAAACAATGCTGACTGAAAAAAGGCGGACACAAAAGTTCACGTGTTGTATTACTCCATTTATATGAAATATCCAGAATAGGTAAATCTACAGAGACAGAAAGCAGACTGGTGGTTGCCAGGGGTTGGGAGGAGAGGAGAATGAGGAGTAACTGCTTAATGGGTATGGGGTTTCCTTATGGGGTGAAAAAAATATTTTGGAACTAGAGAGAGGTGTCGGTTGCATAATATTGTAAATTTACTAAATGCCACTGAATTGTTCACTTTAAAATGGTTAATTTTATGTTATATGAAAATTACAGCTCAGGAAATGTTACTGTAAGGTGATATTATACTTAACAGGCAAAATCTACTTCATTATAGCACACACTTGTATGTTATTTGAATGATCTTGAGACAATTTCTGCGTGTTAGTCCTAAGTTTTCCCTAATTAGAGCAATGAAAAAAACTAAAATGAGATTCAGAACAAATTAAAAGACTATTTTCCTTGCCTTCTCCTTTCATTTATTTTAAACTTAAATGATTCTCTTAAAAGCTAATTAAATTCCATTTCATTAAGCTGTATTTTTGTTTAAGTAACTGACTACATGTGAAAACTATATTATTCCAAAAGTTAGACAAATATAAAAAATGCATTTTAGAATGATAATAAATATATTTTAGTTATGTTTTTCTTTGGATGTATGTGCATGGCATTTTCTTGGCTTCTAACAAAAAAAGACTGCCTTTTCCCTATTTAATGGACTTTGGCCCTTTGTCAAATATCCGCTGCCCATAGGTGAATGGATTTACGTCTGGGTTCTCAGTTCTGTTCCATTGCTCTATGTGTGTCTGTTGTTATACCAGTAGCAGGTGTTTTGACTACCTCAGCTGTGTAGTAGGTTTTGAGATCGGGTAGTGTGAGGCCTCATACTTTATTCTTCTTCTTTAATAATGCTTTACGTTATTCAGAGACTCTTTCCCTTCCATATAAAGCTAGTGATGAGTTTTTCCATCTCATTAAAGAATGTTGTTGAGATTTAGATAGGGATTGCATTTTATCTATATATTGCTTTGGATAGTATTGATATTTTACAATGTTAAATCTTCCTTTCCAAGAGCATGGTATGTTTTTCCATTTATATAGGTCTCATATGGTTTTTTGCAATAGTGTTTTGTAGTTTTGTTTGTATAAATCTTTTACATCCCTGGTTAGATTTATTCCTAAGTGTTTTATCTTTTACAGGGCTATTGTAAATGGTACTGATTTCCTTTTCAAAGTTCTCTTTGTTGATCTAGAGGAATCCAACTGATTTTTTTTTTATGTTAATCTTATATCCTGCCACTTTGCTAAATGCTTCTATTAATTCTAGTAGCTTTCTTGTGGAGTCTTTAGGATTTTCTATGTATAGTGTCATATTATCTGTGAATAGGGATAGTTTTACTTCTTCTTTACCAATTTGGATGCCCTTTATTTTCTTTTCTTGCCTTATTGCTCTTGCTAGGACTTCCAATACAATGTTGAATAAGAGTGATGATAAAGAGTGTCCTTGTTTGGTTCTTGTTTTTAAGGGGAATGCTTTCAGTCTCTCTCCATTGAGGATAATATTAGCTTTTAGTTTTGTAACAATTCCCTTTATTATGTTGAGGAATTTTGTCATGGGTTGAATTGTGTCCCCCAATAATATGTGTAACAATTTGGCTAGGCCGTGATTCCCAGTATTGTGTGATTATCCAGCATTTTGTCATCTGATAGGATTTTCCTATTTGTTGTAAATCCTATCTCTATAATGTTAATGAGATAGGATTAGTGGCAGTTATGTTAATGAGGCAGGCCTCAGTCTACAAGATTAGATGGTGTCTTAAGCCAATCTCTTTTGAGATATAAGACAGAAGCGAGCAGAGAGACAGGGGGACCTCAGATTACCAAGAAAGCAGTACTGGGAGCAGAGTGTGTCCTTTGGATCTGAGGTTCCTGCAGTGAGAAGCTCCTAGACCAGGGGAAGATTGATGACAAGGACCTTCCTTCAGAGCTGACAGAGACAGAAAGCCATCCCCTGGAGCTGGCACCTTGATTTCAGACTTCTAGCGTACTAGATTGTGAGAGAGTAAATTTCTCTTTGTTAAAGCCATCCATTTGTGGTATTTCTGTTATAGCAGCACTAGATAACTGAGACAAATTTCCCTTCTATTCCTGTTTTGCTGAGAGTTTTATCAAGAATGGGTGTTGAACTTTATCAAGTGCCTTTTCTGTATCAACTGCGATGATCATGTGATTCTTTTTCTTTGTTTTATTTATATGGTGGCTTACGTTGATTGATTTTCTAATGTTGAACCATCCTTGCATAGCTGGTATGAATCATACTTGGTTGTATTATTTTTTTGATACACTGTTGAATTCTATTGGCTAGTATTTTGTTGAGAATTGTTGCATCTGTGTTCATGAGGGATATTGGTCTATAGTTTTCTTTTTTAGTAATGTCTTTGCCTGGCTTTGGTATCAGGGTTATGCTGGCTTTGTAGAATGAATTCAGGAGTATTCCTTCCTTTTCTATGTTCTGGAATAGTTTGAGTAGAATTGGTGTCAGCTCATCTCTGAATGTTTCCATCTGGGCTGGGGCTTTTTTGTTGCTGTTGTTGGGATAGTTTTTTATGATCCCTTCAATTTCTGTTCTCAAATTTTCTGTCTCAATTTTTGTTAGTTTAGGTAGGTAGTGTGTTTCTAGAAATTTTTCCGTTTCTTATAGGTTTTCAGATTTGTTGGAGTACAGTTTTTCATAGTATTCTGTTATGATCCTTTTTATTTTAATTGGTTCTGTTGTAATGTCACCCATCTCATTTCTTATTTGGGTTATTTGCATCTTCCCCTTTTTTTCTTTTGTCAGTTTGGCCGGTGGTTTGTTGATTTTATCGATCCATTCAAAGAACCAGCTTTTAGTCTTGTTGATTCTTTCTATTGTTTTTCTGTTCTCTGTTTTATTTTCATGTACTTTTGAGTCCAGCTATGTAAAAGATTATACAGAAAAATGTTCATAACAGACTGTACAAGAGGCATAATGAGTGTGCTTCATCTTATGTTCTCTCATCATCTCTGTGCTGTTGTTCCCTAGGACATACGGGACGGCTGTTAAAGTCTCTGTGCTTCACCAGTCTCTCCTTCCTGTTGCTGCACATCATTTTCCACATCACATTGGCTAGCCTTGAAGCTCAACATCATATTGCACCTGGTTATAACTGTGAGTATTATGGTGCTGTTTTTATTTTCATAGTGTGTATGTGCATAATTAAGCTATGTGTTATCATATTAATAGAAATTGATATAATAATTATAATATTCATGGTAGTTTTGTGGTCAACCCAATCACGGACATTCCAGTGCAGTATAAATACATGTGAGGAAGGTTTGCTACAGGGAATTAGATAATGAGAGGAAATTAATTGATTAATGTATCTTCAAACATATTAGGTACTAGGCCCCTACCTGATCTGAAAGACATTGTCATTGGGCTTAATCCAAGAAATTAAGATTTATATACAGCATATATGGCCCTTGGAGCTTGCAGTACAACTATTGAGGCAAGACATATACAGTTTCCAACATGTTAACAGTACAAAAATTGAATAACATTATATGACATCGACATCAATCCTAGTATAAAGAATAATGTAAGATTTTGTAAGTCTTTATGGGAAAATGTAATGACACATGGTTTTTTTCTTTCAAATTAGGAGTTCCTTATTGGCTTTCATAGGGAAATGATATGTTTTATACATATTATATTTGAATTTATGATCTGAAAAATTCAACACATATATGTTTTATCTAGGTAGTGTTATTGTTCCAAAATCAACCTGCCATTGAATTAATCCCACTTCAGTTTTTGTAGGAAGTGTTACTGTCACTGGACTATACAGAAGCATTCCTAGTAGATGGAATACAATTCACATGTTTTATGTTTACCCTAAAGAAACTCTTTGGGGCATTTGAAATAGACTATAATAACAGTTTTAACTTGTCAGTTTTTCTTTCAAAAACCCATTTGTGGGTTTGAAATCTCCTGAACTTTCATAAATTCAAGAACAAGTAATATGAAGAAAACTACTTACCTTTCCCTATAAAATAAAAAGGAGATCAAAATTTTTCATGGTTCAAAGAGTAGTGAGGGATTGTTTGGCAGAATTTCTCTTTATAAATGATTTCTTATCCCTGACTGCATAACTTTTAGATACATACAGAGCTAAAGTCAATATTCATTTTGGCCATTTTATTGAGTTCAGATCCCATTGATAACCCTGGTGGCACAGTGATTAAGAGCTCGGCTGCTAACCAAAAGGTCTGCAGTTCAAATCCACCAGCCGCTCCTTGGAAACCCGATGGGGTAGTTCTGCTCTGTCCTGTAGGGTCACTATGAGTTGGAATCGAATCGACGGCAACAAGTTTTGATAACAGTGCCTGACCAACACTTTAAGATATGAGTTTAAAAATTCAGATGCAATGTAAATATCATAAAATTCATCATTTTAAAGTATACAATTCCATGATTTTCACTATATTTGCAAGGTTGTACAACCATCCTCACTATCTAATTCTTGAACATTTTCATTGTCCCAAAATGAAACCACATACCCATTAGCAGTCACTCCCCATTCCCTCCCTACCCAGCCCCTAGCAGCTACACAGCTACTTTCTGTCTATAGATTTGCTTATTTTGGACATTTCATATAAATTAAATCACACAATATGTGGCCTTTTGTTTCTGGCTTTTTTTCACATACCATAATGTTTTCAAGTTTCATCCATGTTTTACCACGTATCAGTACTTCATACCTTTTTATGGCTGTATAATAGTCTGTTGGTAAGATTTGACTTTAATGTTTGGTAAAAAGTGAAAAGTCATCCCATTATTAAAAATTTATTTTTATTATGTTTAAAGAATGGCATTTTGGGCATCTTATAATGGAAATGAACTCAATGGCAATGGGTTTATAATGATAAAGAATATTTATGATATTTGGCCAGGTTCAAATATTTTTGGACTTAGTAGAAATATTGTCAGCAATATTTTGTAGTGTTTTTTTAACCAGAAAGTCTTTGGGTATGTCTTAATAAGGCACTCTTAGGACCATAAGGAAGGATTTTCTAACCATAAGTGTTGTCCAAATAAAAAAGGCATTTTCATGAGTGATGAGTTCTTGATCACTGGAAGTATTTAATCACAGTATACGTTACAACTTCTCAGATTTTAAAAATTTGATTTTACAAATAAATATGTTACCAAAGTTGGCAAATAATTTCAGGTAGCTGAGCGATGTTTTAAGGACTGCTCTGGAGGGTGTTTAGATTAGGAAATAAAATTCATAATCCCTTCTGCCCCAGAGAATCTAGGTATTTCTGTTTTTATCGAATATGATGATTTTCCATAATTCTACAATGGTAAAAGTAAAAATGTAATATGAAGTGTTAAACAACATTCTTGTTTTTACATTTATAAGTGCGTTTATCCTATGTATGGTCTCCTATAGATGATATAAACAGAAACAGACAGAAAGCCATATATACTTAACATACAAGCCACACACACACCACACTCACCCCACACATATACATACACACACCACACAGACACACACCATGCTCACATACCACACACACATACACAACACATAGACACAGGCACACCTCATACACCATATACACACCACACTCACACACCCCCACACACATCACACACACACCACACTCACACATCCCGCATACGTACATACACACACCAACACACACCACACTCACACTTACGCATACACACCACACACACCAAACTCAGATGTGTGTGCGCATGCACACACACACATGCGCGCGCGCACACACACGTTTGTTCTTGCTTTGGCTCCTCTTGCCCAGGCAGTAATCTAAATTACCTAGATACTTGGGATGAGTTCTATGTTAAAGTCACACACACAAACAGTATTTCTCAGTGGTGAAGGGAGGAGGCCATCTCAGGTGTACTCAGAAGCTGGCCTCTTGACCGCCTCTTTCTGTGCTTCTAACCTCAGACTAAATATTTTGGTTTTCTAAATACCGTGATATTCCCATATCTGTATCAGAGATACTTTTATTCATGCACATATACCCTCTACTATTATTCGTTACTGCAACAGACCTTAACCATAACAGAGTCTAGCGTGCTGTCCTTCCTTCCTTTTCTGATGTCCCCGAAGGAAAGCCGTACTCTGTCCCACAAAGAGCCATCTAATGGAAGTCATAATAGTGAACTTCTACAAAGTTAAATTTCTGATCTGTGTGACTAAGTAAGCCACAGAGAAGGGATATGCTAAAGGAATGACTTAGAGAAGAAATGGAGCTCTTTGCGTCTAGTCATAGGTACTGTGAGGGCGAGTTGGTAGAAATCATAAATTCCCTCTGGGAAACGAGAGAGGTGTCCCACAGCAGCGGCTCACAGGTGGGACAGGTCTTTTCTGTTCAGTGTCGTGTGTAGCGTTTACAACTAATTCATTCTAGAGAAACTCTGGAAGAGAAGGGCACCAAACGTCAGAGCTTTGTGAGCCGGTTATCTGCAGACTGACACAGAGCAGATTTTCAGCCTCGAGCATTTTTAATGGTCAAGTTACGTGACCTGAAAACCCTGTTTGGGTGGGCGATGGAAGTTCGACTGTAATTTCAGTTACTTCCCCTCAGTAGTGTTGCTGTTTCTGGAGCATTTGGAGCTGTGATCACACCGTCAGAGCTGTAGACGTGAGCTCTGCTGTTTCATATCCATATCAGAGCTACAAACGCGAGCTCTGCTGTTTTCATATCCAGATCTGAAGGTTCCTCTTTTGGCATCTGCGGATGTCAAGTAGCAAAATTTCAAGCAAAAAGACAAAACTCTTGCCTGGCCGTGTTGTGCATTTAAATTCCTTGTCTATGTCTGAGGCGTTGGTAAATAAAATGAAATCATCCAGACAGGCCCGCCTTCCCAATCGTATGTGGCTTTCAGCTTCAAGACCAGCAAGCGCTCATTTATGTGTTTAATTTTGTTTTCCTAATTGCTTCTCTTGCCATTAAAAATCATATACCTTCACCCTCATTATAGCAAAAGTTACCAGCATTCCTCAAGAGTCTAAGACACATATTTGGGGGACAGCAGTAGCATTTATAAATATTGAGCCATTAGACATTCTTGTTTCCCCAGAGACCTGTGAATACTAACTGGCAGTGGTAAAGGTTTTTTTCAAACCACCCGATTTGGTTTTGACTAGCTGGCAGATTTATTAAAGGTGTCATTGTGCAAAACTGAAACTTAACCCCCCTTCTTTTTCTTCCATTTCCACAACGGTGCTCTTCTAGGTAAGTGAGGAAATCACTGGGGCGAGAGGACCTCTGTAAATTTCCCTCAAACATGTGTTGTGCTGCCTACTAAAATATTTTCATTCCATCAGAACTATGCCATTTAAATGAATGTAAACCCGGTTCCAATTATGTCATTACGGATTACATAGAAGTAGTTTGTTTGACTCAGTGGTGGATGTGTGGCTATGCAGTGAAATTTCAAGGCCAGTCTGCATTCTTTTGCTGTGTTATAAAGCAAGCTATTGATTCAAAGAAACTTTTGAGTTCAAAACTATGAAAAATAATATTGAGAGCTGTCTGACGATAATAGCTACTATGTAAAGCCCCTGTAAGACTGTGAGACACCAGAGGTCATGATATTCTCTTTCCAATTAGTGGCTCTTTTTTCCCTGTTAGAAATTGCCACCAATATTCTTTAAGTAGGGCACTGCACATCCACGATCCCATTTCAAACATGTCTTTTGGGCTGGAGGGCTGCAAAGATGTGGAGCCAGGCCTGTGTACATGCACAAGGCTGAGGAGTGAGGGGCTGGAACCCTGCCCAATCCCCAGGCTGCACATCTGCTTCCAGGCGGGGTCCACCTGGAAACGGGGCCCCATTCCACTTACAGAGCGGTCTCTCTGTTGTCCCAGCTCCTGGAGGGCCGTGCCGCTTTAGAATGTCTCTTCTCCAACGGCAGCCTTTTTCTCGTATAAATGCAATGCCCAGGCTGCAGGTGGTGCCAAGAGTATGGATTACAACGATTGAAAAGCAGGCCTCAAGTGGAACGAGTGTTGCACAGAGCCACCCAGGGGCCAGCTGGGAGCTGACTCTGATCTGTCCAACTGTCCCTCGCCTTTTACCGTCTCCATGTAATTCCTCATTTATGATGGGGTTAGGGTTGT